AGCGACGCGGCAACGATGCAACAACAAACCAGACCGAACCGACCGAACGCAAACGACTGCGACGCAGCCAAACCGACCGACCCGCGAACACCCTTGATCCTCTCCTCTCCCCGTTCGCGAGTCTGCAGAGGTCTCTAGATGTCCCTGAAGGTCCCCCGTGGCCTCTGGAGGCACGTTCTCTGCTCGGCCTCTGGGGCCCCAGGCCTGCGCAGAGAACGCCAGAAGAACATCCGAAAACGTTGACCCCCGATCCTGCTCCTCTCTTCCTCCTCCTCCTCCTCCTCCTCTCCTCCTCCTCCTCCTCCTCCTCCTCCTCCTCCTCCTCCTCCTCCTCCTCCTCCTCCTCCCCCTCCCCCTCCCCCCTCCCCTCCTCCTCCTCCTCCTCCTCCTCCTCCTCCTCCTCCTCCTCCTCCTTCTCCTCCTCCTCCATACCTAGCCTGGCCGGCGGACGACCCCGCGACCTCCTCCCAAGAGGAAGCCGCTTCGTCCCAGATCTTCCTCGACAGCCCCTGGGCCCGAAACACGGCCCGAGGACGGAAGCTGTCGGCTGCACACACCAGTGACCTCTGGCACGAGTGGCCCTCGGGGAGCGCGGCCTCCAGGCGCGAAGGCGAGGCCAGATCCAGACGCTCAGACCAGTGCTGAGGAGATCCCCGTGGGCCCGCGCCGGCGGTCACCGTGGCGAAAGGTCACTCCTACGCGCAGCCGATACCATTCGGCGACTGCAGTGGGTGCGGTCTGCGAAGGGTGCGGTTTGCCTTCCGTCATATCTGCCCCTCCCGCCTCGGGGAACTGGATGACACTGTCACTCAATGCGACCGAATCACATGACACTGTCGCTCCTTCTAGTACAGTGGAGCACACATCGAGGATGACAGTGTCCCTCGACACGACGACAATTATGACATTGTCTCTCACAAAGTCTCCGGAAAGGCCGCTACAAAGCAACTCGCACACCGCACCCTGGCGTAACCGCACCGATTGTTGTCGCCGAACCATCCCGACCCTCTGCCACCCCGGCCCGGGCCGCGGGCGCGGCCCGGCCTGCAGGTCCTCCGTGGGCGCCGAGGGGCTCCTGCCGTAGGGCCGGGGGGCGCGCGCCGCTCGGCCCTCGCGCACGCCTCCCCTGGAAGAGGGGGCGGAGGAGGAGCAGGAGGAGGAGGAGGAGGAGGCGGAGCAGGCGGAGGAGGAGGAGGAGGAGGAGGAGGAGGAGGAGGAGGAGGAGGAGGAGGAGGAGGAGGAGGAGGAGGAGAGGGGGGGTGGAGGAGGAGGAGGAGGAGGAGGCGGAGGAGGAGGGGGGGTGGGGGGGGGGGGGGGGGAGGCCCTGACAGGGCCCCTGGACCGCCAAAACACGGCTCAGGATGAGAAACCCAATCTCGGGGAAAGCGTCAGCTTCTGCGGGGGTCCCGTACCGAAAAAGCTTGTTCGGCGAAGGACCCAAACATATGCAGTTGTGGGTAACGTCGTTGTATGCACCGCATTCCGAGGAGATCCCTATAGGGCAACGAAACGTGTGAGATGGGTACCTAACTTTGTCTGGTGGGCGCATGCGGGCGGTGGTACTGGGGCCTTCGGTGGAGCTTACTATGGGGCCACAAAACGCGTGAGAGGAGTGCCGAAATAGGCGCGGTGGGCGCATGCCAACACAGCCATTGGGGTCGTCGGTGAAGCTCGCTCTATCGTGCCGCGAAACGTATGATGGGTGTTCGGTGGAGATCCCTATGGGGCCACGAAACGTGTGAGGGGTGTGCCGGAATGGGCGTGCGTGACGCATGCGGGCGGTGGCACTGGGGCCTTCGGTGGAGCTCCCTATAGGGGCCACGAAACGGGTGAGGGGTGTGCCGGAATGGGTGTGCGTGACGCATGCGGGCGGAGGCGCTGGGGCCTTCGGTGGAGTTACTTCTAGGGCTACGAAACGTGTGAGGGGTGTGCGGGAATGGGCGTGCGTGACGCATGCGGGCGGTGGCGCTGGGGCCTTCGGTGGAGCTTACTATGGGGCCACGAAACGTGTGAGTGGTGTGCCGAAATGGGTGTGCATGTGTATGCGTGTGTGTGACGCATGCGGGCGGTGGCACTGGGGCCTTCGGTGGAGATCCCTATGGGGCCACGAAACGTGTGAGGGGTGTGCCGACATGGGTGTGCGTGACGCATGCGTGCGGTGGCACTGGGGCCTTCGGTGGAGCTCTCTGTGGGGCCACGAAACGTGTGAGGGGTGTGCCGAAATGGGTGTGCGTGACGCATGCGGGCGGTGGCGCTGGGGCATTCGGTGGAGATCCCTATGGGGCCACGAAGCGTGTGAGGAGAGCTGAAATGTGTGTGTGTGTGTGCGTGTGTGGCGCATGCGGGCGGTGGCGCTGGGGCCTTCGGTGGAGCTCCGTACAGGGCCACAAAACGTGTGAGCGGTGTGCCGAATTGGTTGTGCGTGACGCATGGAGGCGGTGGCACTGGGGCTTTCGGTGGAGCTCCCTGTGGCGCTCCCTATGAGCTTTCGGTGGAGAGCCCTATGGGGCCACGAAACGGGTGAGGGGTGTGCCGGATTGGGTGTGCGTGACGCATGCGGGCGGTGGCGATGGGGCCTTCGGTGGAGCTCTCTGTGGGGCCACGAAACGTGTGAGCGGTGCGCCGAAATGGGTGTGTGTGTGTGTGTGTGTGTGACGCATGCGGGCAGTGGCTCTGGGGCCCTCGGTGGGGCTCCCGATGGGGCCACTCAGCGTGTGAGGGGTGTGCCGAAATCGGTGTGCGTGGCGCATGCGTGCGGTGGCATTGGGGCCTTCGGTGGAGATCCCTATGGGGCCACGACACGTGTGAGGGGTGTGCCAAAATGGGTGCGGTGGGCGCATGCGAACGCTGGCATTTAGGCCTTCGGTGGAGCTCCCTCTGGGGCCACGAAACGTGTGAGGGGTGTGCCGAGAATTGCTGACATGCGGAGAGCAGAGGCAAGGAGGGGGAGGAGGGAGGGGGGGAGGACAAGCTAGGTGCGCTCGCGTCATATCTGACGTCCTACCCCTCCCTCCCATCCCTTACCATGGCGCTGATTTTCTCTATCCGCGGACGCGTGTCGTAGAGGACCTGTGGCTCCGCGCGCGCGTGCGTAGTGGGTGGTGGTGCACGTGCGTGCGTGCGTGCGTGTGTGCGTGGTTGTCGTGGTGGTGGTGGTGGTGGTGGTGGTGGTGGTGGTGGTGGTGGTTGGTGGTGGTGGTGGTGGTGGTGGTGGTCGTGGTGGTGGTATGGGGTGGTGGGGTGGTGGTGATGGTGGTGGTGGTGGTGGTGGGCTGGTGGTGGTGGTGGTGGTGCTGGTGGTGGTGGTGTTGGTACTGTGCTGGTGCTGGTGTGGTGTGCTGGTGGTGGTTGTGGTGGTGGTGGTGGTGGTGGTGGTGGTGGTGGTGGTGGTGGTGGTGGCGGTGCGGCGCGGTGGTGGCGGGCGGATGGGCGCGCGAGAAAAAGGCCCGCGCTGGGGCGAGAACGCCATCCTGAACGACGGAGGCCAAACACCGATCCGAAAATGAGGCCCACGCTGCAGCGGGAGCACGATTCGGAACGATTCGGGAGCAGAAATGAGGCCGGCGCCTCAACGAGAGCAGCATTTTGGGAAAAAATGACGCCGGCGCCTCAGCGAGAGTCGTTTCCCGGGATTTCCCGGGCATCCTGTGTGTAAAAAACAGTACGCGGAGGGTGCGCGGCAATCACCCGGACGCCATCAGGGGAAGGGGGAGAGTATTTTCATATTTAGTAATTGCGGAGGGGGGAGGGAGGAGGAAAACGCGGGGCGCCGTCTCTTCAAATGGGGACCCAACACTACAGGATGGTTGGGAAAAATCCGTGCCTGGGTGGGAACCTCCTGTGTCAACTTGCTGGCTCTTGCGAATCGACGCTGACCGACGCTGATCGGCGCTAAACCGACGCTAGCCAGGTAAGGAGGAAGGAAAGAAGGTCGACGTGCCTCTGAACGCTCTGACTACGGGTGGCCGAGAGCATCCCCCGGCAGCGTGCTCCTGTGGTCGAAGCCGCCGTGCGCGAAGATCAAGTTGCCCGAACCCCACGAGGAGTGCCTCGGTGGAGGCAGCCACAGGATGAACGGGAGGAGGGGGAAGGAGGGGAGACCCAAACCCCCTCTGGCGTGCGGGGGCCCTTACCGGGCCTCGGGGCCGTCAAAAATCGGCTCATGATGAAAAGCCTGCTCCAATAAGGGTCCAGAAATCTAGGGTCCAAAATCCGCCGACCCTATCGGCGTGTGGCGCTACCCGCCCTTTCCCTGAGCCCTCCCCCTCCTCCTCAAGCGCGCCAACCAAAACGAAAATGAGCAACGTCGTAAATGCATCGAAAAAAAAAAAAAAAAAAAAAAAAGATAAAAGAAAAGAAAACAGAAAAAATGCAGAGGAAAAATAAAGAAAAAAAAAGGATAACAAAGGAAAAAACATAGATTAAAAAAATAAACAAATCAAAATAAAAAAAAAAAAAAGTTAAAAATAAAAAGAAAAAAAGGAAAGAATAGAAAAAAAAGGAAAAAAAAAAAATAATGAAAAAAAAAAAGAGGAAATAAAAAAATCAGAAAAAAATAGAATTGAAGCGAAAAAAAGTAAGGAGGGGAAGGGCGACCGGGCTTCACTTTGATCGCTTCCCTTCGCCCGTGGAGTGGGGCCATTGAATCTGCGGGGGGGAGGGGGGTGAGGGGGGAGAGGAGGGAGGGGGGGGGCCCGGGGGGTCCCTCGCGTCAAGGGTGGGGTCCCGGGAGGGGGTCTAAAAAAACATCCACTCTAGGATACGCATCCCCCGCTTGCGGCTTTTACAGAGGGGCCCTCTGTAGATGCGCTGGAGGAGGGGGGGGGGTCGCCACGACGGATCTGCAAGAGCGCCCCAAGACGGCCCAAGCCCCACAAGACAGCCCAAGAACACCTAAGGACGGCCAAAGGGGGCCCTCGGACAGGTCAAAAGAGCCCTACAAGGACTCTCAAGAAGGCCCAGAGAGGCCATACTCATTGATTTTCGGAAAGGTTTTGTCCCCACGATCGCCAAGGACAAGGCCATCCCCGCCCTGCTGGCCGTGCCAGGCGCGGCGCTCACCGCCGTGTCCTCCCGCGGCAGGGAGCGCGCCCAGGCGTTTGCCGACGCCGAGGCGCCGGGCGCGGGCGTCCGGGGCATGACGCACGACGAGGTGCTGGCGGAGGCGGGCGCCGAGGTGCTCTACATCCCGCTGCCCTCGGGCGTGCGCAACGCCTTCATGCGCAGGGCGCTGGAGGCCGGCAAGCACGTCTACTCGGAGAAGCCGCACAGCGGGACGGTGGCCGAGTTCCGGCAGGTCCTGGACCTCGCGGCCGCGCGAGGCAGGCAGTGGATGGACGGCACGATGTGGTACCATTCGGTCCGCACCAGGGCGATGGAGGAGGCGCTGGCGAAGCTGGGCCCCGTGCGCCGCGTTGCCGCGTCCTTCACCTGGGGCAACGGACTCGTCGACCAGGCGTGGATCGACGGCGGTAACGGGCGCACCGACCCGGCCCGCGAGCCGTTCGGCATGCTCGGCGACTCGGGGCACTACCCGATCTCGGCCGTCGCGTGGGCCTTTGCGTGGGAGCTGCCCGTGAGGGCGCAGGCGCTCCACTGCAAGCGCAACAAGGTCGGGGCTGTCATCACGTGCGAGGCCTTCCTCTGGTTCAAGGACGGCGGCCGCGCCGTCATCGACACCACCTGCGAGGGCCCGCACCGCTCGCAGTTCGAGGTCATGTGCGACAGGGGTGTCCTCAAGGTGGACGACCTGGTCGGCGGGCAGGGGCGCAGCGGCAACTTCTCGGCCTACGAGGGCCCCTTCGTGGGGTCGACCCGCTTCGTGCTCGGCGACCACATGGGCAAGGACACGGTCGTCGAGGTCGAGGCGTGCGACCACGAGAATCGCCTCGTGCAAGAGTTTGTGGAGAGCGTGCGGCACACGATCATGTGTGCGATCTTCGAATCTTGCATGCGCGAGGGTGCGGCCGTGGAGTTGACCGCGGAGGGCGCGTTCCGGATCGGCGGAGAGACTTTCCCGGACCTGCCCACGCGCAACTGGTGGGAGGCGGCTACGCCAGAGCAGTGACTACCAGATCGCCACGACTTTTTTACTTAAGATGGCTCACGCCACTCCGCTGGCACCCAGAAGGAGGGGGAGCTTGCGACGATCGTAGAAGTTTTCTAATGGCCTTCGGTTCAACCCGCCACCGTGCCTGGGCTGTGGGTCAGGAGCCTCTTGGATGAATCTGAGGGTCTATTGGGATGCCTCAGGGGCCTCGTGGAGGGCTCTTGGGTGCATGGGGCCTCTTGGGTTCCTCTTGGGAACTTCTTGGGGGCGTCTTGGAGGCCTCCTGGGGCTTCTTGTGGGCGCCTCGGTGGCCTCCTGGGAGCTCTTGGGGCCATCTTTGGGGGAAAGGCTCGCTTTCTTGGGGCCCTCGTGGGGCTCTCTTCGGCCGTCTGGGGGACCCCTGGAGCCGTCTCAGGCCGTCTTGGGGCCCTGTTGGGGGCCTTATCGGCCGTCTTGTGACGATCCTGGGGGTCCCTTGGGCAGTCTTAGAGGCTGTCGAGACGAAAAACGAGTGCTTTGTGCCTCATGGGGCCTTCTCGGCGGTCCTCTCAGAACACTTTTGGGCAGTCCTCGGGACACTGTGGGCCGTCTCGAAGCCATCTTGGGTCGTCGCGGGGCTACTCTGGGCCGTCTCGACGCTCTCCTCGACTGTCCTGGCCCTCTGTCTGGGCCCCCGCGGAGCTTTTTGGAGGCTCTGAGGCCCCAGGGGTGCGTTGTCGAGCCCGCTCCCCCCCCTTCTTCTCCTCCTCCTCCTCTCCTCATCCTCCTCTCCTCCTCCTCCTACCTCCTCCTCTCCTCCTTCCTCCTCCTCCCGCTCCTCTGCTCCTCTCCTACCGCCTTCTACACTCTCTCCTTCTCCGCTTCCTCCTCCGTACCTCCTCCTCCTTTTCCTCCTCCTCCTCCTCCTCTCCTCCTCTCCTCCTCTTCTCCTCCTCCTCCATCCTCCTTCTCCGCCTCTCATCCTCCTCTCCTCCTTGCTCCTCTGCTCCTCCTCCCCTCCTTCCTCCCTCCTCCTCCTGCTCCTCCTCCTCCCCCTCTTCTCCTCCTCCTCTCCTCCTCTCCTCCTCCTCTCCTCCTCTCTCCTGACCTCATCCTCCCCTCCTCTTTCCTCTCCTTCCTACTCCTCTCCTCCTCCCGCCCTGCTCCTTCCTTCCTCCTCTCTCCTCTCCTCCTACCTCCTTCTCCTTTCTCCTCCTACCTTAACATACTACCTCCTCCCTCCTCCTCCTGTCCTCACCTCCTCCCTTCTCCTCCTCCTCCCTCCTCCTCCTCTCCTCCTCCTCCTTCCTCCTCCTCCTCCTCTACTCCCTCCTCCCCCACCCCCTCTTCCAACTCCTCCTCCTCCTCGGGTCGCCTGCGGCCCCGGGGGAACCCGTTCAGAACAGCCCAATGGGCGATGCAAAAAACGGGGCCGTCTTCGCCGACACTGGCGCGCAAGCTGCCCGCGTGAGGTCGCGCGCGAGCGCCCTCGTTGCCAGTTGAAGCGTGCCGGGCGGGCGGCCTGCGCGAGCCGCGGCGTGAGGTCGCCGCGCCGTCTCGCGCGAGATCCGCTTTTCATCGTCGCTCGCGCGTCTCGCACGCCTTCGCACCCCGTGGCAAGCGGGGGTCGGCGGATCCCCCCCCCCCTGTTCCCCACTGCCAGCGGGAGGGAGCCTCGCTCCTCTCCCGACGACAAGGGCCCGGGGGGCATCGGCCCCCGCAGCACGACTTCTCCGCACCTCGGAGGAGCAGGACACGCGGTGTGGCCCTGAGTCTGTCGTCGGCTAAGGAGCCCTACCTCGGGGGCAGCGATAGGGGGGGATAAGCATAGGGGGGGTGCATCGACCCCCAATCGCCCATTGATCGCCGATAGGGGCCCGATAGCCCCAAGCTGCCCAGGAAGGTGCGGATTCACTATTGGAGGCCTATCGCCGATCTAACGGTGATGTATCGCCGATTCCAGGTCGATGCTTCCCCCCTATGCCTATTCCCCCCTTATCGTTGCCCGCAGCTACGAACCTGAGAATTTCACTGGCAGACGCGGCATAACCAACTACAGGTGCGAGAAATACGGGTTCTTGAAACGAATGTTCAAATATCTCACAATGTTTGCCCAACCGGCCCAAAGTTCTCACATTGTCCGCCGGGGCCGGGTCGGCCAACTGGCGCCGGCGGTAAACCGTCAACCAGGTTACCGCTGGGGACCTCGCGGAGCTCCTCGCACGCTCGAGAGTGCTCGGATTGAGACGCAGAGGCTCTCATGATCTCTGACAGGTGCGGAATCGAAAGAGAGAGCTTCTGGGAGCATTTCTCAAACAAAAATCAAACATTGTTTTTTTTCATGTCGACATGAAGGAGGGAATATGCAGGAACAGGCAAAGCATAGTCTGGGGACGACTCTGTTGGATGGTTTTTGGACCATGTCTGCGCGTGTTTGGATTCTTTGTTGTTGTTGTTGTTCTTTTTCTTCTTCTCCTTCTTCTTCTTCTTCTTCTTCTTCTTCCAAGATCCGCCTGTAGGAGGAAACGCCCGACCTGACCCTACACGCCGCCGCGCTGGTCCCGGGCAGGCCGTGCTGCCCGGTGGAAGGGGCCTCGAGGGACCGGGGGGGAGGGGCGGGGGGTCCCCCCCCCTTGGCCGCCGCCCGCGATCGGAGCGTACGCAGCCTGGCTCGTCGTCTGACCTGCTTACTGTCCAGTGCCGGCAGCACCGGTGCGGCATGAGGTGCTGCGCAAGTTTTTGTTTATTCTTATTATTACTATTATGAGTAGTATTATTCGTATTATTATTATTATTATTATTATCATAAGAATATTAATGCTACTACTGTAAGTACTATGAATGTGATTGCCATTTATTGTTCTTCTTCTTCTTATTATTATTACTACTATTATTGTTGTTCTTAATATTTTTCATGATTATTATTACTATTCATATTATCTTCATTATTAGTATTACTATTATTATGACTCGTATTACCATTATTACTATTATCATCATACTTATCACTATTATTATCATCATCATTATTTTCACTATCATTATTTTTTATTTTCATGATTATTATTATCATTATTATTATTAGTATTCTTATTATTTTTAAATATTATTACTACTATATTTTTCGTATGGCTATGCTCATCATACAACAATATTTTTATATATATATATATATATATATATAAAAAAAAATTTGTATATATGTTTGTGTCTATCTGCGCACGTATATGTATGTATGTATGAAAGAGCGTGTTCTACCGCTGCTGGCGGAAAACCGGGGGGGTCACTGGGGGTTCCTAACCCGTCCCCCCCCCCTTCGAAAACCGGGGGGGGTCACTACTGGTTCGACCCCCCCCCCCCCAGTCCATCATGAAAAGGGGGGGGTCACTACCGGTTCGAACCCCTCCCCCCCCCTCGAAAACTGGGGGGGGTCACTACTGGTTCGAACCCCTCCCCCCTCCCAAAATCGGGGGGTGGTCAGTACCGGTTCGAACCCCCTCCCCTTCGCCGCCGGGAAACACGCCCGCTCCTCGGGACAGTTGGAGAATGGTGGGGATGTTGGGACAGGTGGGGACAGTGGTGCGGGGACAGTGGGACAGTGGTGCGGACAGTGGTGGGACGGTGGTGGTGGGGACAGTGGTGAGGGGACAGCGGGACAGTTGGACAGTGGTGGGGATGGTAGTGGTGGGGACAGTGGTGAAGGCGGTGGTGAGGACAGTGGTGGGACAGTAGTACAGTGGGGAAAGTGGTGGGGACAGTGGGGACAGTGGGACCGTGATGGGGACAGTGGGGACGGTGGGACAGCGCAGTGGGATAGCGGCGGGGGACAGTGGTTGGAACAGTGGCGACAGTGGGACAGTGGTGGGGACCGTGGGGAAAGTGGGGAGAGTGGGACCGTGGTGGGACAACGGCGGGGAGAGTGGGGACAGTGAGACACTGGTGGGGGCACTGGTGGGGACAGCGGGGACAATGGTGGGAACAGTGGGGACAGTGGGATAGTGGTGGGGACGGTGGTGGTGGGGACAGTGGTGTGGGGACAGTGGGAATGTGGTGGAAACAGTGGGACAATGGAGGGTACAGTGGTGGTGGCGACATTGGTGAGGGCGGTGGCGAAGACGGCGGTGGGATAATGGGACAGAGGTACAGTAGGGACAGTGGTGGGCACAGTGGGGACAGTGGTGGGAACAGTGGGACAGCTCAGTGGGACAGCGGCGGGGACAGTGGGACAATGGGACAGTGTGGACAATGGCGCAGTGGTTGGGGCCTTGGAGAAAGTGGGGAGAGTGCAACCGTGGTGGGAACAGTGGTGGGGACAGTGGGGACAGTGCGACAGTGGTGGGGGCACTGGTGAGGACAGTGGTGACGGTGGTGGGAACAGTGGGGACAGTGGTGGTGAGGACACTGGTGCTGGGGACAGCAGTGGGGGTTGTGGTGCGGACGGTGGTAGGGACCCAGAGTTGTTTGCTGGCGGTGAGCGTGGGGGGTGAGGGGGTGGGGTTCGAACCGGTAGTGGCCCCCCCGGGTTGGGGGGGAGGTTCGAACCAGTAGTGACCCCCCCCCTGTTGTTTTCGAGGGCGGGGGGGGTTTCGAACCGGCAGTGACCACCCCCGGTTTTTGGGGGGAGGGGGGCGTTTCGAACCGGTAGTGACCCCCCCCCGGTTTTCCGGAGGGGGCGGGGTGACCCCTCTCTGGTTTTCTGGGGGTTCGAACCGGTAATTAGTGACCCCTGGTTTTCCGGAGGGGGGGGGTTCGAACCGGTAGTGACCTTCCCCGGTTTTCCGAAGGGGGGGGGGTAGGGGAGGGGTTTTGCCGGGGGGGAGTCCAGCAGGGGTGGGGGCATTTTCGGAGGGGGGGTGGACCCCCGGGTTCCGGAGGAAGAGGGGGGAATTTTCCACAGCAAAGCAGCGGTGGACCACGCACTCTCGTATGTCTGTCTGTCTGTCTGTCTGTCTGTCTATCTGTCTGTCTGTCTGTCTGTCTGTCTGTCTGTCTGTCTGTCTGTCTGTCTGTCTGTCTGTCTGTCTGTCTGTCTGTATGTATGTATGTATGTATGTATGCATGCATGCATGCATGTATGTATGTATGTATGTATGCATGTATGTATGCATGTATGTATGTAGGTATGTATGTATATATATATATGAATGTACGAATGTATGTATGTATGTATGTATGTATGTATGTATGTATGCATGCATGCATGCATGCATGCACGCATGCATTGCTTGCATGTTGCATTGCATTGTATGTATGTATGTAAGTTATGTATGTATGTAGGTATGTATGTTGTATGTTTGTATGTACGTACGTATGTATGTATGCATGCATGCATGCATGCAGGCATGTATGTATGTATGTTATGTCTGTATGTATGTATGTATGTATGTTGTTGTAATGTATGTAACGTATGGTTAGTGTGTGTATGTATGTATGTATGTATGTATGTATGTATGTATGCATGTATGTATGCTGTATGTATGTAGGTCTGTTTGTATATTATATATAGAATGTACGAATGTATGTTATGTATGTGTGTACGTAATGTATGTAGTATGTATGTTATGTATGTATGCATGCATGCATGCATGCATTGCATGCATGCACGCATGCATGCATGCATGCATGCATGCATGTATGTATGTATGTAAGTATGTATGTATGTATGTATGTATGTATGTATGTATGTATGTATGTACGTATGTATGTATGCATGCATGCATGCATGCATGCATGCATGCATGTATGTATGTATGTATGTATGTATGTATGTATGTATGTATGTAGGTATGTATGTATGTATGTATGTATGTGTGTGTATGTATGTATGTATGTATGTATGTAGGTAGGTATGTATGTATGTATGTATGTATGTATGTATGTATGTATACATGTATGTGTATATACAGCAGCATGAGCATTGCATCGAGCTAAGCTAGAGCACTAGAGCGAGAAGCAACGGCGTGGGGAGAGAGGGAGCAAGAGAGGGGGTCAGGATAGAGAGAGAGGGCAGGCAGAAGAGGGGAGGCGGAGCGAACGGGGGGGCGGCTGAGCAGTGCGCGCGGGCAGCTGGGCGAGCGCAGGGAGTCGGACAGAGATGCACCAACTACGTTGTACTGTATCGGAAACTGGAGCATATACACTACCAGTGGCGGCCGATTTCTCAATCCCAGGACTTTTTTGAGGGTCGTGGACGACGTCGGGGTGGTGTGGTGTATACTTTTTTCCCCGTTTTCCCAGGGAGGTGACGAAGAATGTATACACCAGGATCCCGCATACACCAGGATCCGCTTTCCTGTGCGAGATTCAGTGTGAGGCCAGACAAAGAAGTCGGTGTATAGAGTTCGGCTCCGTACTGTAGGTTCCTGCGGCGTTGGCGTGCTGGCGACGCTGGCAAAGGCGCTCAGGGTTGACTTCTGCGACGCGGAAGCACCGATGGACGGGGTAACGTCGCTGGACCCGGCCGCATTCAGCCTTGAACGATCGGGGCCGCGATCGATTCAAGGTTGAATCATCGACGCGGTCTCAAAAACCTTTGCGCGCGCCGCCGCCGCACGAACCCACCGTACGGGTTTTAAAGAATTCGCTGTTGGTGGAAAGATGAACCACACGGTGTTCACGCTCGCGGAACCCAAGGCGGTGGGAAGTGTGAAGGGATGTTGCACGTCGACGTGGTGCTGCACCCCCGCCACCCCCCTGCACCGGGCGTCCCCCACACGACGCCCGGCTGCCCGCGGCAAGCCCCACCACCGTGCCGGGGCATCAGCGCAGCAAACATCAGTTTGAGCTCTTGACGCTTGGCGTACCCCCGCCGGCTCGTACTCGTGCGTTCTGCTGCCGTCGGGCCTTGCGGCTTCGGCCACCCTGGTTCCTCGCATCCTGCCAACGCTCACGCCCACACCGGGCATCAATTCGACTTCCGACTGTCGGTCTTCTTGGCTGCGGTTACCCTGGTACTCTCGCAGTTGTCTGGGGTCTTGCGCCCTTGCATTAATTACTCGGCTTCGTCCCTGGTTGGCGTTCTTCCTAGCTACCTGACGCTTCTGACGACTTGCATACTTGCACGGTGGCAGTACTACTCAGTTTCAGCCAGCCCCCTCCAATCGCTGGTCCGCTGCTGAGGTGCTGCGTGAGGCTCCGCCTTGCCGCTTTAGGTGAGGTTGCGCCCCGTTGCTTTAGGTGAATTTGTCGCTGCGTGCCCCGCTTTGACGGGACTCGCCGCTGGCGCGCTCGCTTGCGGCCGCTGAGTAAAAAGTACCCCCGCTGGCTCCACCCGCAAAAGCAGGCATCGGGGGAGCTGCCCTGAGCAGGGATGTCTAGCGTCCTGGCTGAGTAGTTGCCTGCCGGTGCCGCCGTTGCCTGTGTTGCGCATTGCGTGCCCGGGGCCGTCCTGGTAGGGAGGTTGTCAGTCGTTGCTCGCCGTGTGTGTGTGTGTGTGTGTGTGTGTGGGTGGGTTGTGTCCTTTTCCCCCTCTTGCATGCCGGCCACTTCGCCGTTCGCTTGCCCCAAATTGCCGCACGCTGGAGCGCACCGCCTCTGGCTCGCCGCCGACGCAAAAAGTTTGTGTGCGTGTATGTGTGTGTGTGTGTGTTGTTTTGGGCGTGCGATCACGTGCGACGCGCGCGCTGTTCATCGTGCAAACAGGAAACGACTACGGACGACCACTCGACAACGGCAGCCGCGGGCAGCGCGGAACGACGACGACAACGGCGACGGCGCGGTGCGACAACGACGACGATGCCGACGTCGCCGACGCCGACGCCGACGCCGACGTCGCCGCCGACGCCGACGCCGACGACGGCGACGATGCCGACGCCGCCGTCGCCGCCGACGCCGAAACCGACGCCGAATCCGACGCCGACGCCGACGTCGAGGTCGAGCCGACGCCGACGTCGACGACGACGCCGACGAGGCCTCTTGGGACGTTTTGGGGGCCTCGTGGTGGTCTTCAGAGCCTTCTCTTGAGGCCTCCCGGAGGCCGCTTGCTTGGGGACCTGGGGGCCTCATACAGGGCTCGTGGTGTCAAGGCCCCCCTCGGGGGGCTGCTTTCGGTCCTTTGTCTTTTTGTATAGTTTGAGTTGGAAATTACCCCGAAGCGGCTCCGCAGATAATGAAGATGTTTGGACGACGCGTGCTTCGAAGCAACAGCGCAACAGACAAGAGAAGCGCGTTCTAACACGCCCTCTCCGTGAAGGCTCTGTTGCGGACTTGTCTGTGGCTGTCTAGACACGCCCAGACAGCCCAGCCCAGGAAGACCCTTGAAACCCCGAGAAGGGGGGAACCCCGAAAGGCAACCGAGGTGCCCAAAGATCGGTCCGGACGGCCCCAGCAGCCCCCATGGGTGGCCTCAGAAACTCACGAGGACTCCTGGTGCTCCTTACTGCCCCCCTTCGTCGTCGTCGTCGTCGTCGTCGTCGTCGTCGTCGTCGTCGTTGTCGTCGTCCGCCGCCCCCTCCTCCCCCTATCTCTTCCTCCTCCTCCTCCTCCTCCGCCTCCTCCGCCGCTTCATTCCTCCACGTGCTCTTTCTCCTCAGTCTTCTCCTCGGCCTTGGTGCTTGTCTTCCTGCTCATGGTGATCTTGCCCCCCTCGCTGCCCTCCTCGTCTTCCGCGCTGCCATCCTTGTCGTCCTCCGCCTTTTCCTCGCCGAAGGGGAGGAGGAGGGGGAGGAGGAAGAGGAGGAGGAGGAGGAGCAGGCAGGAGGAGGAGGAAGAGGAGGAGGAGGAGGAGGAGGAGGAGGAGGAGGAAGAGGAGGAGGAGGAGGAGGAGGAGAGGAGGAGGAGGCGGAGGAGGAGGGAGGAGGGAGGAGGCAGGAGGAGGAGGGAGGAGGAGGAGGAGGAGGAGGAGGAGGAGGAGGAGGAGGGAGGAGTAGGTGTTAGGAGGAGTAGGGAGGGAGGAGGAGCAGGAGGAGGGAGGGGGACCGTGAGGAGAGGAGGATGAGGAGGAGGAGGAGGAGGAGGAAGAGGAGGAGGAGGAGGAGGAGGAGCTGGCCCTCAACCTCGCCGCCCCTCGCCGCCCCTCGCCCCCCGGCCCCAGGGCTCCCAGCGTGGGGCACCGGCGTACTCGGCGCGGCGCCGCCGACGGCGCTCG